CTTGGTACATAGCCGATTATTAGAGATAGGTTGATAAGATTTAAGATTGAAGCATTAATTAATGGCAGGACTTCTTTGAGCAGTTTTGTAGGAACTTTTGGGTTGATGGTTTGGAGGAAGTAATTATTGAAGTTAACTCAGAAAGATCAATTGGAGAAAAAGAGTCTAAGTGAATATAAACATTTTATGGCAACATTTTCTTCAGTTAACACTTCAACTGTTTAAGCTCTTTTCCACACAAATTCCAGCTTCTTTACCTCTTTTCAGCACAAATTTCAGCCTCTTTGGCTCAGTGGGATAAGCAGCTGCCGTGAGACCCGTTGGTAAAGGTTCGAATCCTACGTGTGACGGTTTCCACACATCTTCCCGCTTGCCTCCGCTCTGCTTTCTTGACACTCTTCGGTGTACCCTTTCACATACAGCCATCTTCAGCAAGCACTTCTGCTTCCACACCTCTTTTCAGCAGATTCCAATATGAGGCATTCACACTGCATTTTCGCAGGAAATGAAACTTTTTCTAGTGTGGTCCTAGTCATCAAAATGGGCCAAAAAAATGGCATAAAAAGCTTAGTATTTCAAAAGGTATAAAGGTTATGACCACCAAAAGATATAGCAGTCATAAACGGAAAGAGCGGAACAGGTTAAAATTTGAATGGTGAAAATTGGATGAAAACTGAGGGAGTAGTTAAGCAGCAAAGAAAGGGGGTAACTAGAATAACTAGAAAAAGTTGCATTTCCTGTGAAAATGCAGTGTGAATGCCATGTTATGCGATCTGAAAACAGCAGATGAAGGAGAAATATCTGCTGAAAACACTGTGTAGAAGCTGAACTCTTTGCTGAAAACTGCTTTATGTGAAAGATTACACTGAAGAGTGTCAAGAAAGCAGGGTAAGTGGGAGGAGAGAAGATGTGCAGCCACAGGTAGGATTTGAACCTGCGCTACCTGGTCTCAAGGCAGCTGCTCATTTCACTGAGCCAAACTGGTTCTCAGGTGACTGAAAAGAGATGAGGAAACTGAAACTTGTCCTGAAAAGAGGTGAAGAAGCTGAAAATTCTGATGAAAAGAGCAGAAGAGACTGAGATTTGTGCTGATATGAGGTAAAAAAGCTGAAAGTTCTGCTGAAGAGAGGTGAACTTTTTGAACTTTCAGCTGAAAAGAGTTGAAGAAACAGAAAGTTCTGCTGAAAAGAGCAGACGAGGCTGAGATTTGTGCTGAAAATAGGTGGAAAAAGCTGATCTTTCTGCTGGAAAGAGGTGAACTTGTTGAACCTTCTGCTAAAAAGAGATGAAGATACTGAAAATTCTGCTGTAAACAGGCCGAGAAGCTCAAAGTTCTGCTGAAAAGGGGTGAAGAAGCAGAACTTTGAGAGAGACCTAGTGTTTAATAATCCACATTTCACTGTTTTACTCTTTGGTTCAGATGTGGATACTGTATTGTTCTTTTTTGTGATTTTTTATGATCATGTTGTTTATTGCTGGTTTTTAGAATGAAATATATGGACTACTACTATTAAATAATAATAATAATTATTATTATTATTATTATTATTATTATTGTTATCATCATTATTATTATTATTATATGCTGATAGAAACGGTAACATAATGTTGTGTCACAACACATTCATAAAAATGTGTATTTGAGTGTTTTAAATACAGATGACATCGCTGGGTTTAGCTACAGTAGCTTCCACCAAGTTAATATTAGGTTAGCTAACTTATGTAGTTTTTTTGTTTGTTTTGTCTTGTATGATAGTAATGAATTAATCAATAAAAACATACTTCATTCATGAAGAATCATTTTTGTGTGTGTCATAATATAAGGCAACAAATGCTACTTTACAGTGTTTTCACATTACATGCTATGATTTTGAGTTACGCTAATCGCAGATTTTTTTTTTAGCCAAAAACCTTATTCATCGTAATCGTAATATTGACTCTGACCCGCAGCAGTACTCATAATGTCTTCAAATGTATTTTTCCAAAATCTCCAACACACTGATTTTATTTTAGATATGATGTTGCTGTTACCTGACATGTTCTGTAATAAATGAATTGAGACCAAAAATATTGTGGTATAAAAACACGTACTTCCCTTGATATGTTTTATTTCTCATATTTTTAGTAACAATAGGCATTTTTTTAAATGATATTTTCATTAGTAGATCAGCTTCAAAGCAGTCTGGGAGATTACTTTTAAAATATATAAGCTTTTCTAAATAACTGGCCAGTCGTGCACAGGTTTTTGTAAGTGTGACAGCAGAATAAGATCTACACCTGGTTCATACTGCTTTGTAGATTGGACATTGATTTGTCCATCATCCGTCCTCTCTGCCTCTCTGTTTGTTTGCCACAGGCGATTGAAAGAGAGCGGCCAGAAAAGTACCGCAAGCTTCAGGAGGCCACACGCACAGCACAGGCCCTAGTCGAGCAGGGTAACTTGCACGCTTACATACTCATTCACATGCATACACAGACATGCATGCTCCCTTTGTCTGTTCCCATGGCAACACTTCCACCTGTCCCACCCACTCTCCTTGTCTCCATAGAAACACTCACTCACAGGCAGAAACGGACAGAAAGAGAGACGTCTCATCTGTCCTTCACTCTGTCCTTGTGACACAGAAACACTAAATGTTCTTTTGTGTTTTTTCCTAACCTTAAAACAAAACATTCCTGAACTTTATACAACTTACTGACCGAAGCTATATCTGTGTATTTTCTCTTTAATGTTGCCTAAATTGTAAGGAAATGCACTTGTGGGTTGAGCAGCAGAGTTGAGTGTGTGGTTACGCCCTTGAAAAACTTGCCAAATCTTCTCTGCCAGTGGCACACAGCTTAATCTACGCATGTTTTGGTTGTGACAAATGCTGGTTGAAGAAAGGAATGCCATCCCTCAGATTCTGCAACCACTGGCATCCTCCTCAAGATGACACTTACTGCCACAGAGTTGTCAGAGACTGCCTCCAGACTACTACCAACCCATGAATCCGTTTTCCTTACAAATGTGGCAGTTTTGAAGGAGAAACAAGCAGGCTTTCCATGCTGTGAGATTTATTACGAAGAAGAGTCGTTACAACAAAGACATAATTAACCAATATGCATTTCCTTATTTTTTAAGTTTATATAAAATGGGATGCAAGCAGTACTGGTTACTAGGGGTGGGGGGG